TGGTGCACCCTGGGCAACGTATACTCATACGGCAAAAAAGTCTATTAACCGGCAGTTGACTTCTGACTTCAAAATACCATGGCACGACTGCTTGTCATATTCGACCGCTTCCACAGTACTCATCTTACCCTTTTCTCTGCCTTTTTGTCTGTCTGCCTATTTTACATCTGTGAATCGCTCTTCTGTTCCCCACCCCTCGACTTTCTGCTACTTTGATGAACCTTCCCTCTGTGAAGCCCGAAGTCAATTAAAGGGCTAATGATAGCTATCAAAACGCCTGCCATTTGAAATAAATAAATAAATAAATAAAATCAAATTAATGGAAGAAAAGAGAAGAATTCTTTTCCAGCAATGGATTTGCGATTTAGTTCAAATTGGACCAAAAACGATATGTGATTTAAGGCAGTTGTCTCAGGACATCCTCTTCATATTCTGCAAATAGCCTTCAAGTCGTCTATCGCACATATCAGACTGCGAGAGCGGCGCTACTCTTAATATCGTTGGGTAACTAGTTAGAGTAAAAATGTCATCGTTTTGGAGGTGGGCTGAATTTCAGCTATCAACCCCCGGGAGGATTCAATTCCCATAAATGGTATTTTTCTAGATAACAAAGCGAACTGGTGCCAATACTCCTCAGGTACATTTCTGAAACGAATGTTCAGTCGGGGCAAGTTGTGGATGGGCGGCAAGACATAATATGACCCTTGTTTGACGTCATATTCTCTTCTACATTGACGGGGTTGCAACTCCCTATTTAGGCATTTATCATTCTTCTGATATCTCCTAAACAGCATCAAATTTCAGCGGTCATGGTTGACCTGAGAGCGAGGGAAGAGTGTACCCGTTGTCTTTTTTACTAAAGATTGGGCAGATAATTTTAAAGTGGATGAAGATTTGGAAAGGTGGCATTGTGTTTGAGCAGATCTCATGTTCTATCCTTCCACGTGCTCTTGAGAGCCCTTGTTTCCCCAGTGAGCTGACAAGATTGCTACTTTGCCCTCTTTCATTCTTTTTCAGTATGTCTCGTGTCTAAGTTTAGGGGTCCATGCACTGTGCTAGATGGTGCGCTTCGGAAGTGCGCTGAGAAGTTTACTGGCCTACTCTCAATTACATTCAGTGGAAATGAACGCGATGGTATTTACACTACATACAGTAAATTTGGCTGATCTGCGTTCACCATTTGTCTAATGAGCAATTAATATGAGTCATCATTTGGCCATTTGGGCAGATCGTGTACACTAAATAGAGGCCAAAAAATCGATCAAAATCAAGTGGCCTTCAAATAATTATTAGCACCCAGTTCTCCCGCCCTAATAATACAAGCTTTAAATTGCATGGACGTCGAATTACTATAATGCTTAAAAAGATAGCATTATTTGGTGTGAGAATCAAAAAAATCGCAAGTAGCATGTTATCAACATCTTATTATGAAAAATCATTGTCTGAGTTTGTAGTTGAGGAATAAAACCTAGAACATTCGGAAGTTGTATCGTATGATGTTGATAAAGATGTGGTATAACTAAAGCATTTTTGGTAAGATGACGACGTACTGCAAGTGGAATTCGTTCGAGAGATTGGTGACTCCATCTCGAACGAGGCAGACGTGTCACTAAAACTACTACAGTCACTACAACTCAACCTATTCCTGCACCTTTTTGGTCTCCTTTTTGACTTTTGTCCGTATGAGTCACAGTCAGAAGAAGTGTAGGCTTCAGATGAAGAGGTACTGCATCTTCGACTTTTCCTAAGCACTCTAGGATTCAAAGAGCGACTTAAGGGATTATAACAGATCGGTTGGGTTGTCTGTGGAGCACCACAACATGACATGCAAATCGGAACGGGAACCAAAATCGGCTGTTGAATTGGCAAGTTTGGAATGGTTTGAAGTGCACCAGCAGTTTGTAGCAGGGGAATATTTTGTTGACCCCACGGCAATGACGCAGTAATTGAACCTCGAGTTGCGTGCTTACTTGAATGATTCTTCTTTCGCTTTTTTTTCTTACGTCCATTTTTTTCACTTTCCTTTGTACTCTTTGCAGATGAATCTCTTCCAGATGTGTTTGACTGCTTAGTCAACATCTTTTCATTATCCTTTAATCCCAAATTTGAAGGTAAGTTTGAGTTATCTCCCATTCTTTCATCTGATTTAAGCGGTGGCACATTATCTGTAACATTTTCTACACTATCAAGAGATTTTTCGACTTCTATTGAAGCGATACTTGACTGGTTATTGTCACCACTTGATACACCAAACAAAGTTATGCTAACATTTTCTGAATTGTTTGCACTCTTTAGTGTCTTGTTGAATTCAAGGCGGTCTTTTAATGCACTCCTCGCGGTTTCCATAAGTTCCTTTCTGGCCTCCTCAATTTCCTTTTCCCTTTTTAGTCTGCGTCTCTCTTTGTAATTCAGAGTGGCAAAGCCTTTTTCACACTCCGCAGATTTACCAAAAGGTCCACTCTTCACCGAATTGTTCTGCCTCTCTTCTAGTTGTTTCTTTTCCCTCTTCGCTCTTAATTCAGCTTCGACCTCTTTAATCTTTTGCATCTTCTCTATCACATCCTGAAGAGAAGGCGCCGGCTTCGATTTCTCCACCACCTCATTATCTTCCTTTATAGCGTTATTTGCGGAAGAAGTAGTTTCAGTCTCTGGTTGAGTAGATGCCTTTTCGTCTCGCTTCTTTGGTTTCCGAGTTGGTAGAACCATACAATTTCCCTCATCGGTGACTTCTTTCTTTTCCCATGAATAGGAGGGCACTGGGAGGCTTGGAGGAACCATATTAGCGGCTCTGGCCTCTCGGATAAGCTGTAAAAATTTTGTAGGTTTCTTTTCTTGTTCAGGAAGAGCATACTCAATTGTTGCGTTACTAATGTCGTTCGCTGCATTGTTGTTACTCTGGTTGGCATGATCATATGTTTCCTCGTCATCTGATATTTTTTCAATTGTTGGTTCCAGGTCAATCGGCTCATTTTCAGCTGCATTTGCCTCCACTTTTCCATCATGACAATTTTTAGCTTTCTTGAAGGCAGAATTTAATTTGCCTTTGAAAGTAATCCTGAACTTAGTAGAATTACTAGTTTCTGAAATACACACTTTTGAGCCTTTTAGAGTTGTTTTACTATGAGTATGAACAACCGCTTGTAAATTCTCCAGATCCTTGCCCTGCTGAAGGGTTCCACATTCTGGCTCTTCTAAGCTAATAACGGAGTGCTTGAATGAACTTACTACTATATTCTTAGAAGGTTGAGGTGGGTGGGAATGTATCCCGTTCAAATTAGCGGGAACAGCTACTTCATTTGAAGATAATATGGTTTCTGAATTCTGTGGCATTTCTGCCTTTTCCGCGGGTTCCTTAATTTGCAGATCACTAAGATTTCCCGCGTTTTCACAATCATTTCCCGGTTGTGGATAAGATTCGCCAACTAATTTTTCCTCTTCGGTATCTTTTATCGTTTCATTGATTTGTGTTGAACCACCAGCGGGAGTATGATCGAAGTCTTTATTCTGACTTATTTCCTTGTCATTATCTGCGAGTTCTACATCTTTCTCATCAGTATTTTCACTTTCATTCGCGTTTGTATTTGAGTTTCGCTTTTGTTTTCGTAAACTCGAAATCAGACCACAAAAAGTCAGTTTCGGTACATATTCCGCCTCTGCTTCTTGGAAATTACTGTTTTGAAGATTACTGTTGGGGGACTCTGCAAAACTCTGATTCAGCGCAATATTTTTTGGAATATGAGAGTTTTCAGAAGTGGCTGTTGACGAACGCAATTTTTTCATTATTTTAGACATCAATGCCAGCCCACATGCCAACCACGTCAATTCGATCGATGGAACTTGAAAGACGAGCGACAAATGTATTGACCTAGTGACAGCAAAGTTGTGACGATATTTTAAACCAACTTGCAAATCACTTATATTAAACAAGTACCGGAGTTTTCCGTTTAATCCTCCTGGGAGGATTAAACGGAAAAGTCTATTTCAGAAAAATATTTTTTTTGGAAACAAATAACCGCTCACCCAAATGAGCTCCCGTGGGGAGATACAAGCTTCACAGTCCCAAAATGAGAGACAAAGCTGTGTTACTGTATTTTAACTTTTAACCACCCAGCTGACTGAGGGCGCGCGGGCTCTTATTCAGGTGAGCGAACTTTCAGAAAACACCGGTAGGACTTTTAAATACAATTTAATATATGACCTCACAAATGTCAGAATGTTTCAATTTTATAAAGCACTGCCAAAATTATCCATTTTGAATGAAATTATTTCTGTTGGTCTAATAAGGTTTGGGCGTTTTTAAAACATAGTCACATTGTCGACCACGTCGAAACAGCCTATTTCAGAATGGAATTAAAATGAAATATGCCTATGTCATAGAGTTATTACTTTGATAGTGCTACTTCATTCATAACATTAAAGCCTAAAGCTGATCTCCTTGGTTACCCCTTCAACAACCGATTTATATCTTGAAAAATGCGCTGTAGTCTCAGAGCAGATGTGATGAGTTTTGGTGGTGTATCAGACGAAGAATCTGGACGTATTGAACTTGTTTCACACGGCAATAGTGAGCCTTCTATTACGCGTCTAGTACCAATGGAGCTTATTTTGAAAGAGGATTGTACTGTCTTAAGGGCGTTAAGGGTTTAAATTGCCAGAACACTTCGATAGGAGTTCTTTTCTGCCTTCTATTTTCAGAGCAGGTTCACCCGCTGGTTTATTAAACTCCACCCCTCCCTCTGTGGCGCACTCAAAAAAATATATATTATTTTCAGTGTCCATTTCTGTGCGTATACACTTGGAAAACTACCGTCTTATGAGATTTATTGGAAAGGTGTTGATTAGAGGAAGTATCGGGACAACAAAGTCTTCTCTTATAGTATAATCTTATCATAATTTTTTATCTATATCCGTCTAAACTGCTCAGATCTTGTTCGAAGTGGTGCATTCACTTGCAGACAATGTGACTACTGTACTGGCTGGAACTAAGAATACTAACCCATTATATTAAGCCGTGTTCATAAATGAGCACATTTATTTGCAGTCCTTTCCAAAGATGCAGAGTTAACCATTAATATTTAGCTTTTTACTTTTTCGTGTATTGAAGGGCGAACCCTGACAGACTTTACAATTAGTCATGACAACTTGACGTTCTTTCCTCCAGATTTCACTTTTAGCCTTTTGATTTAAGGAGTTTTAATCGTGCATCGATTTTGCTTCGTTGGGAAACCTAATTTTGGGATAATTATATGAAATTACAAACCCGATGGAGTAAAATGATAGAAAATTGATTTGTGGTGGATATGCTACACCTAAAACTCTAGGGCATATTCTCCTACATTTGGAAAGGCTCCCAGGATAAGCTAAGATACCGCTAAGATATATGGAATAAATAGACGTATGACTTGGGACATATTAATGTGGGATTGACCACTTACAGATGGGCAATTCAGTCATAATATACGTTTTCCGGTATGATAATCACGTAATGACAAGTTATGTTACAAAATCAATTCTTTAAAGGCCTGTATCCAATGCTGATACTTTAAAGCTAACAGTGTTCCATTAGTAGTTAGGACTGTGAATTTCCATGGTCCCTCGTCTTCACTCCTCCTCGATTATCCCCGTTGACGTTTCAATTACCGCATGTGTGTGTGGCTACATTGATGCCTTGAATAGTTATGAAATTGACTACATATAACAAGCCATCTCGCCAACTTCAAATCACTTTGATGAATTCAAGCGGCAATTCACAAGCTCTCAGCTTCTTGCGCGAAACACCGATAGTTAAGACAAAATAGGTATAATTATTCATCACTTTTTAATATTTAATTTAAATGTTAGCTATCATTAGCCTTTTAGTTGACTTCGGGCTTCACAGAGAGGAGGAACATCAAAGTGGGGGGAAATTCAAGAGGGGGGATCAGAAGAGTGGTTCACAGACTTAAAAGAGACAGACAGTCAGACGCAAAAGCAGGGAAAAGGTAAGATGGGTACTGTGTAAGTGGTCGGATATGACATACAGTGGAGTCATAGTAGTTTTAAGTCAGAAATCAACTGCCGGTTTATAGACTTATATTTTTGAGTATACATTACCCAGGGTGTGTTGCCCATGTGGAGGTAAGTCTATCGCACAGCCATGACTTGATAATATTTATTTATTTATATCAAATGGCAGGCGTTTAATAGTTATCATTGGGCCTTTAGATGACTTCTGGCTTCACAAAGGGGGAGGAACATCAAAGTGAAAAAGTTGATAGGAGGGGAACAGAAGAGTGTTTCAAAGACGTAAAGAGACAGACACA